GTTTTCCAGGTGCTTGCTTATTAGCACATCTTGGTGTGGATGGTGGGCAATGCCAAATGCAGGCATTTGGACTTGCATGTGTATGGGATGCTTGGCTTTCCCTGCTGAGACCCTGAGCGTTGTGTGTTGGTGGGGAGAACCTGGCTGTTTTGTCTGCCAAGCTTCATTTTTCATGTGCATGGTGGCCCAGCTCATCCAAGGCAGGCTGTGTTACATGCCTGTCAGCTGCCCGTGCAACTGTCCTTCCAAGGGAGATGGGTCAGAGGTGCTGTAGGGAACAGGGTGGGCTCTGCTATGGGGAAGGCAGCAGTTCTTCACTGATGGTGGCAGTGGGCTGAAACACAAGTGGGAAGGGTATAACATGACAATGAACTGGGTGTGATGAGGTGTTCTCTTAATGGATGTGGTGTGGCGATAGGGAAGTGTCAGGTAAAAGGCTGAGTGACTTTGGGAAGCAGGGGAAAATGGAGTTGAAAGAGTGAGTCTGGTGAAGTTCAGCTGCCCCATCTTTGCAGACAGAGTCCATGGCCTGAAGCTGATCAAGACATAAAAGAGAAGAGGTTGGAAAAGACATCTTCCTGCGGTGCGGATAAGCCCTGTGGACCTTCCTACTTGGCAACTGTTTTACTTGGAGATGTTGAAGGGAGATGGAAAGGCTTCTGAGATTGATGGAGTTCAAGAGCAGAGCTCTCAGGCTCAGGAAGGTATTCATGACTCTTTCTTCCTGGAGAAACCTTAACTTAACCAGTGCTTTGTGCAACCTGTGGCCATGTGCAGGAAGCGGTTAGGCTGGGAATGGCTAATATGTGATGTGGCCTCTAGGGACAGTGTTCCTGGTCCAGTGTTAGTGAGGTGTTAGAGGTGAACCAGGAATCAAGCAGGTGCTATGTTGAGGTTGTCTTCTCTCCTGGATGATGATGAGCTCTTGGAAGAGGAACCACAGATCCTGAATGTGGCACTGGACCAGGAAGATGAGAAGCCACACAAAGCAAAGGTGACTGCAGTAAGGTCAGGAAGACAGCCCAGTGTTTCAGGCACAATGGGTAGGAATGCATGGCCAGCAAACTGAGCAAGGCTGTGAGTGGATGTGGGGCTGGCTCACCTGAAATTGGCTGTTTGGGCTATGCCTCTGCCGATGTTCCCCGCTTCAGACCCCTGTACTCCTGACTCCAGGCTTCTGACACCACAGCTAGCAAAGTTGCTGCAGCTGTCAGTAGTCTGGCTTGGAAATAATGAGCATTAGTTTTGTAAAAGGCCTTCCATGAGGAAGCAGGTGAGATCCAGAGAGAGAGATTGATGGGCTGTCAGCTTCTATATTCAAACTTGCCTTCCAGCTGGGTTAGGTTTTTTAATAACACAGTTCACAATCCCTGCCACGTGCTGTCCTTAGCAGGCCCTCTTTCCTGAGAAGCTGGCTTGCTTGTGTCAGAAGTGAGCCTGGAAAGCTCTTCTGAATGACTTATTGCCATAGCAAGTTGCTCCTGAGCAGTACAGAAGTGTTACTAAGAGTGGTTACCACTCCAACCCATGTGCTGCTGTGTAAGAACAGTCCTGAAGAATGTTTGAGGGACAGCTTTACTCACATGAGAGTCTCTAATCCAGTCCCCATGTCTCATGGCCTACTTGTAAATGAGGGCTTCAGTTCAGTAATGTTGTCTTGAGGATCACACACGTTCTGCTTATTCTTTCCTTAGAGCCTGGTCTGAAGGTCCATGAGGTCTCTCTCTGCTACCTTTGCTTACAGGAGGGACTCTTTGTGCTTGCCGGAGTAAAGGCTTTCCCAAAACAGTAGCTGCTGGCTCCACTTGCATTGCCCTTTTGCAGACTAGCAGGATCTAGCTGCTTGTTCTCCCTTACAATCAGGATGCAAGTTCTTTCAGCAACCTCTTTCCTTTATTTACTGTATTGAAGAGGTGTGTACTTTGCTTTTGACTTCAGTCTAGCACAGCAGCTTCTGTATACCCATCAGGTTTAACAGTAAAGCAAAACCAGGGTTTATTAATGCTTAAGGTAGAAAATGAGGAGCTAATAGTTTAAGACTTGAAAACAAAGCGCAAGTATGGGCTCCAGTAGCTTACTATGTGTCATTGGGACCTTCTGAAAGTGGCAGCATTTAATACATCCAGGTTAGTGTATATGACTAGCTAATATCTGCATTAAATCATGGTTTACTGGGTAGTCTCTGACCTGATAGGCCTGGCCATATACTACATCTGTAGGCTTGTAGTTTACACAGATGACTTTGTTAGTAACAAGGTATGTGAGCTCCTACAGCTGCTGAGCAAGGTGGATCCCATCTACAGGGAAAGGAGCCTGGTGGAGTCTGTAGGTAATTCATCCTGTCTCCTCTGCTTTTTCCTGTTCCTCTCCAGTTGGTTTCAGCCTGATTGTCCCATTTCCTTTGTGCTTTGGAGAAGTGGCCAGTCGTTTCTCCTGCCCTAAACCCATTTCTATCTTCTGGGCTGTGACTCTCCTTTGCAGCTTTTTTTTACCCCCTGCAAACTTGCTCTCTCTACAGAACTGGTAAATGAAGCAAGCCCTGGGTAAAAGGTGGCTCTGGGCAGTGTAAGAGATGGCAGAAGTGAAGGAAGTAAAAGGGAGAGATGAGAAAGGGGAAATTAAAAATAAGTTAATGGATAGTTCTGATGAGCTCTGCACGTGTTGTTTTGGGACAGAAAAGCTCTTTGTCAGTTTTGGCCACTTTGTGCAGAAGAACACAAACCACTGAGTGGGGAGAGGTTTTGGGAGGACTTTGTGTGCCAAAGAGAAAGGCCACTGGGGATGTGTGTATGAATATACCTATGGTGGGATGAGCATGGCAAAGACCACCACATGTGAGTGAGGCTGGAGAGGTCTCCATAGTTGTGCTTGGACTGTGGCCTTGCTCTGTTTCATTCCAAGTGGGAGAATAGTGCAGAGCAGAGACTTTGCAGAGCAAACAAACAAGCACATAGAGTGTTTCAAGGATGCCTGCTACCCTTCTCCTGTACCTAATGTGTGCTGGTGATTGCATCCAGCAGCTGAAAATAATCTCTTGGAAGGAGGTGATGAACGGGAGCTGCCAACCATGACTATTTATAATGGGTGAGTCAGGCCGTTCCTGAATCCAGCCAGACACTGGGAAGCTGGAACCCAGGAGTAACCTGCAAAGGACACAGCCTTGGATAAGAGGCTGTTGCCTGCAGCAGCTTGTTTATTGTATAGTTCAGACTTGCCCTGTTTACCCCCTGTGATGGACTGCATCTTTCCCTTCAGCTCTACCACACGCTTCCTGCAAATGGATGGGGGGCAGCAGGATGAGTGGAAATACTCTCGGCATGTAATGCGACAGTACTCCCACAGTAAGCACAGCCTGAGCCCAGCTAGCCAGAGGTGCCAGAACAGCCGTTTGGAGCCACTGGAGTGCCGGGATCTGCTGGTTCAGAATGCGCTTTTCACTGGGGACTTGGAGATGATGCAGAAGTACTTCACCAAGGATGCAGCCATCAACCTCATCATTGAGACCAAGGGTGGTGAGCTACGCTGGACTAGCAAGAAATTTGGTGGGTGTGCAGGGCTGGGACATGGGAGGATGGAAAGTGCCCAGGCTGGGGACCAGAGAAAGAGTGCTGATGCCTGAGAAAAGTGTTGAGAGGAATCCCCGATGGTGGAAGCAGGGTGGTGGAAGTGGGACTGAGGAAGAATGGCTCTTGGTTGAGGAAGGAGGATTCCAGTGCCTTTGAACAAATGGTAGCGGTCTTGTTGAAGGTGGCCAAACTGCTGGTGAGGATAGGGCCCTTGAAAGTGCTGCTGGAGAGGAACAACGTCAGGGCTGTACTCTTAGAAATTGTTGGGACAGATGTGAAATATGAGCGAGATGGAGGCAGTGCTTGGGTGAGAAGGCATCAGGTGGCATAAGGATGCTTTTCTTGCCATGTATCTTAAGTTGGGTCTGTTACTCCAGCTCATTAGAAACTGGAGGCTGTGACATGCTTTGAGAACAGCAGAGAAGTGGTAGTAGACAGATTAGTAGTCTGAAAGTGCAGTTGTCCTTGCCACTGTCTGTTAGCCGTGTGGTGCAGGCAGACATCCAGAATTTAAGACAGAGACTGTCAGGTGTAGGGGGGCCATAAATGCACCATTCTTTTCCATAGAAGGTTAGTGACAAAAACCCCTCTATGCCAGAATGGAAGACCTGTTGATAAAGGCCACTTTCCTAGAGGTGTGTGCTCTTTTTAAGTGTCCTGCCACAAAGCTATGGAGCACATTGATAAAGCTTGACCATGGCCAAGTGTTTTGTGTGGGGATCCCCGCTGCCAAGAGACAAACAGATAGTGCAAGCTTGCACATGCAAGTGGTGCTGCTTGTGAGTGGTGACGATTATTTACTGACTTACAAGATTTGTACAACCCATGTTTTGAAATGTTACAGTCTTCTTAGGAATAAAAATACAAAAGGTATTGATTGCCCTTTGTGTAACTGAAACCACTTGTCAATAAAGTACTAATTGCACATTTTAACTCCTGTCTTATACTGGGCTGGCAGACACCTGAACAGCAAGTCAGTCTGCTTGTAAATATTGGTGTCCCAAGGCTATCAGAGCAGTTGATGTAAAACAACTTTAGACAGAAATTGTTCTTACCACCAAGGTTTCAAGATGTAAAAAATCAACCAAAATTATTCATCAAGCTAAACAGACCAAAAATGTACTGCCAAATTTGTCAGATAAGGATATGGAACAACAACCAAAGAAACCTTCATGATTTGGTTCTGTATCTCACTGGCCTATAGGGACAGTTTCTTAAAGCTTAGCCAGCCAGTGACCTTAAAGTAGACACTAGTGACCTGGTGTTTCCCAAGTCATCCCTACTGATATTTTAAGAAGCCCAGAGGAAGTGTACATTGTATGTGTTACTGACACTAACTCACACAGCCTTTTGCCTCCCTGGTGATGTGTATGTGATTGGGAACCTTAGACTCTTCATGGGACACCAGCTTATATCTTTGGAGAAACAGTGAGAAAGTCTGCCTGGTGCTTCCCTCCTTATTCTTTCATCCACTACATTTTAGCTAGACAAGATGGTGAAGTCAGCACAGACAGAGAATGCTGGAGACTGTCAGTACAGAACTTGCTCATTTATTTTCATTACTGAGAAGGATAAAGTTCCCTATCTCGCACTCTTCTCTGGTCCTCCAGGTAATTGTTGCTTGGTGGTCTATTGGGGTCACTTGTTTTTAGCTGTATGATCTGAATAGTTCCACACCACAGAATTGAACTAAACACTACTAGCCTTCCATGCAGTTTGGTGTGTTCCTTAAAACATATGGTCTGAACAAAACGCACACACAATGCTGACAAACGCTGAGCAAAGCGTGCTGTTCTGTAACAAAAGTAGGGGCAGGGTGGGTTTATACAACCCGGTGGGGACAGGAGAAAATGCCATTTCAGGTGAAGGACAGCAGTGAAGAACCCTGAGTGAGGCAAGTGTCAAAGGATTGGAAAAGGAGTACTAAAACAATGCAGGAGCTCTCTGTAAAGCTGAATTTCAAGGAAAAGTAGGAAGGGGTCTAAAGGACAATTACCTTCTATGTTTTTACTTCACTGTTTCCCATCCTTGTATATATTTCTGCCTTTGTCTTCAAAGTCCTTTGTCTTTAAGCTTTGATTAAGATGAACTTTCCTTTAGCTTGTTTAAAAACCTGTCTAGTGCCAAGGGCTAAGGTGGAACTAGCAAACCAGTGTGTGTTTGGGGCTGGAGATGTGCAAGGAGCCAAGGGCTGGACAGAGCTGTGCTGCTGGTTTATGGCAGCAGCTGTGCTTTGTGTTCTGAGCAACAGCTGGGTGACAGAAGACTAGCGGGACATGAGACTACTTTCCTCTCTTTTCTTAGTGATGTCATGTCTCTGTTTCTACCCTTCATGCTACCCTTCTACCCTGCCCTGCCTAAGAGTTTTCCCTTCACAACCAGTGACTGTAGGGATACTGCTGCCTGAGAGGATTGTCCTTCTCAGCCTCTTGGCCCAAACATTCTGTCACAAGCTTTCCCAGAATAGAAGAGCTGAGACCTGAGCTGTACCCACCCTGGGCCAAACAGCGCTGTGGCATGTCTGACCTCCTTGTATAGTGCCCCAGGGCAGGCAGCCCATCAACTGGGGCACAGCACACTAGTGGGGCTGCACCCACATGCTCAGACCCTGGCCAGGGAGGCAGCAGCAGCACGTCCTGCCCTGGTGCCTGGGAGGGTCTGCGTACTGCATCATGAGCAGCATCAGAGGCAGAGGAGGCAAGAGCCAGGAGCCCATTTGTATACAGAAGGTGGATGGCCCTGCCCAGACTTACTGGCAGGCCCTGCTTACTGGAGATCAGGAGGTTGTGGCCGAGATCCTCAGCAACTCTCAGAACAACCTGAGTCCCAGTGCAGTGTTTGACACCAGTGACCTGGAAGAGTGGAAGAACTACCGCTTCAACATCCGCTGGCTGAGTATGCAGGGGGCAGCAGGCAGGCAGCAAGTGCCACACCTCAACAGGGGTTCAGAGCCTTTTGCTTATGCTGCAGGGCGTTCCTGTTGCTGGGATTGTGTGTTATGGGTGCTTATTGGATTATGGAGGAATGAGGGTGGGAGTGAGAGCACTAGGATGTAGTTGGGCTCCCCTGTGCTGTTTACGGGAGAGTGTTTATGTGTTCAGGAGTGTGATCCAGGATACCTGCCTCTTCTAGCAGGGGTTGTGCAAGTGCTTGGAAGCTGCTTGGGTTCCCCCACTTGGCAGAGGAGATTCAAGCTCCAGGTGGTGCTCCTTCTGTGACCAGCCCTGTAACCAGGTTCTGTATGCCTATTCTGTCTGTGTGCAGCCTCTGCTGCTCGTCTCTCTGTGGGCTGTGCTGACCAAGGAGTTGTCACAACCCTGCATTAGGTCCTTGAGATAGTTCATTTTGAACCTGGCCCTGGGAAACACAGTTGATTGCATACTGCTTCTGCGAGAAAGAGGTGAGAGCGATGTAGTGTTGAACATATGAAGTCTGGGACTTGGTTCTCCACCCTAGCCTGGTTGGGCAGCAAGAAACATGATTTAAGGAGACCTTTTTCTGTAACAGCTGCAGGCCGTTTGCCAGCAGACTGCACCAGCTCAGCAATGGTTCCAGCATCTTTGCTGAGTTTGCATGTTTCAGCCCTTTGCTCTCTCCTAAGCCCTAGATGTCCATCTCTGCTGAAGCTTTCTTGTCTGCACCATGCTCACAGCTTGTCGAAATCTCCTCTGTGTGTGTCAGCCTGCTTGTTTTACTGTCTGGTTCCTTGTGTTTGTGGTGCTTCACACCTGGTGCTCTTCCCAGCCACCTTGCTGCTTTCAGCCCTGCCTGTGCCCCAGGCGCTTCTTCTGCTTTACTCCTGTCAACACAACCCCTGTCCTGCATGACTGAGTCGCAGGTGAGAAGCATACTTCCTAGGAGCAGCCTCTGCCCAAGGCACAGCTGCTCCTTTGAGCTCCCCATCAGCACGGCTGTGCAGTCAGTGTAAGGCACTATCCCCAGATCTTTGCCTTTGGCAGGCTAGTCAAAAGGCAGGGACCTTGCAGAGAAGAGACTGTCACAAAGAGGCAGTCCCTTAAGGGGAAACCCGAGTCTCTCGGGGGGGGGGTGTATATGAGGTACCCTGGGGGAAAGGGCAGGTCTGGACCCAGTGCTTTTGTGCAGTGTGGCTGGACGCAGCCCCCTGACGTCTCTTTCCCTGCAGGACTGTGGTCTCTGAGCTATGAGCAGGAGCTCACCACACCGCTGCACATCACAGCCAGCCGGGGCTACACAGACTGCCTGCGGCTCCTGTTAATCAGGGGTGCTGCCGTCAACTTCGCACCAGGGGGTAAGACTGCCCTGCATGAGGCTTGTGCAGCGGCCAGCACAGACTGCGTGCGCCTGCTACTCAGCTTTGGTGCTGACCCTGAGGCTGTCTCCGAGAATGGCTACAAGCCCCTGCATCTCTGCAAGAGCCCAGACTCCATCGAGTGAGTTCTGCTGAGGGGGCACAGTGGATCTCCCCACCTCAAGCCTTATCCTTTGTAGAAGTGTACCCTGCTTATCCCTGCAGGTGGGGTGGTGGTTACAGCAACAGCAGCTGAATGGGATGGCCTTACTGCCTATTCCAGGACCAGCATCACCTCTGAAGTCCAATAGATCAGTGCAAGCTATACTCTTCAGCTGATGCAGCTGAGTTTGGTGCTGCTGTTCTGCTACCCACCAGCAGTACAGAGCTGATGGTTCACATTGAAGCTCAGGGCACGCACTATGCATGCAGGCTGATGCGGGTGTGTGGGAGCAGACTCTGGGTGTAACAACACTGTATTACACATCTGTGAAGACTTAACTAGAATTAGGATGATGGTATCTCCACTCACCAGTCATCTGCTTAAAACTGCTCCAGGGCATGAGGAGCAGGGATTTTTGGGCTTCTGGGAAAAGTAAAAGCCCTAGGATGGTACAGACATGGGGAGGGAAGGGGTGGGGAGGGGAGGGGAGGTAGTATAGCTGGACAGGAGAGCCTGTCACTGAGTCATCTTGGCCCACATAGGTGCGTGCAGCAGCTGCTGCAGCATGGAGCCAGCGTGAAGAGTCGGACAGAGGAGGAAGGTGACACAGCACTGCATATAGCAGCACGGCATGGCCTAACAGACCATGTCCAGCTGCTTCTGCGCCATGGGGCAGACCTGGAGGCAAGGAATGAGGAGGGGCAGACGCCACTGAATGCTGCCTGTGCTCAGCCCCATCAGCCCCAGGACATGGACCGCTATTACCAAGTCTGCCAGCTGCTGGTGGAGAGTGGTGCTAGCATCAATGCTGCAGATAGGGACCGTCAGCACCCACTTCATCTGGCCTGCAAGAATGCCAATGCTCAAATAGCAGAGTTACTGCTGTCCCGGGGTGCAAACGTCAACGTCATGAACTACAGCGGCAACACGGCACTGCACAATATCCTGCAAGCAGCTGCCTACAAGCTAGACCACCACCCAGAGCTTGTGGTGCAAGTCCTGCTCAACTACGGTGCCATCCGCATCTGGCCTGGTGCTCTTCTCAAGGTGAGGGGCTCACAGCCATGCAGGAGCATGGTGGGAAAGGGAGAATGTGAACATTAGCGCTCCAGTGAGAGCAAGGGTGTTTCTGTCGCAGAAGGGCTTGTTCTGTGCCAGCCTGCTTGCTTGTCTCTTCCCACAGGCTGTGGGAGGGGAAATTGACATTAATGGGAAGGGGTTTTCTGAAGTTTTCTCCTGGGGTATGTTCTCCTGTAGGACTCTCCCACTTCCGTCTGCTAAGCTGTGTGGACAGTACTTACTAGTTTCCTTAATCACTTGCCCAGGAAGATGTTCAGTCTCTTGGGCATGTTTCTTCTTTGGGCCATACCCTCCAGCTCATGCTGCCTCTGCAAAACACCAGTAAACAGAGGGTTAATTTTCTGTCTTAATTCCTGAGCAGTGCAATAATTACTCAGCCCGGAGATCAGCAGATTGCTCTCCCCTTTGGGAAAATACAGGAAAATCAACAATTAACACTAATTAATCTCCTATTAACGCCAGATAATGAGGATCACTCCTACAGCCAGAATAGACTCTGACAGCTACTGCTGGCCTGGGCCATGGGGAGTGGGAGCCAAGAGCCGGGGGAGATCTGCCTCTGTACAGCTATGCATGGGTGGGGTGTGCTCCAAAGGCCCCATGGGTGGTGTAAGATACAGAGCACCAGCATGCTGCTTGTGTTTACACAGACACAGTACACACCAGAGACGTGTTACACAAGATGTGTGATGTCTTCCTGGGGCTCTGTGTCACAGCTAACATGAGCACATTACTTCCTAGAACATTCATTACGCACAGCACAGATACTGGATGTCTCTGTAGCACCACGCTAAACAGGCATAATACATCCCTGAGACCCCCGTGTAGCCCTCAACAGAGGCATAGTATGCCTTAGTCTTGCTGCCCACAAGATCAGTGTCAGTCCTTGCCCCAGAATGCCTTGTGCTCTAACTAGAAAAATGTGAGGGAAAGAGCCTGGTGTGAAGCAGATCGTTGGCTGCTTGCAAGCTACTTGCAGCAGCGAGACAAAGTTCTGCATCCCTGCCATGTATGTTAACCCCTGCATCCAAGAAGAGGCTGTAGGCACCCAGTTGTGCCGAATGCAATCATGCTGCTCATGTTGGGGGTTGGCTCAGTTACCCTCAGTCACGCGAGTGGTGCTCTGGCATTTTCCACCATTGTTGTGGGTTTGATCTCGTGGGGCAACACAAGGGAAGGACATTAGTTCCTGAGACTTGCCAAGGCTGTTTTTGAGCAGCTTTTGGAAGGTGAAGGTAAGACTTGAGGACCTTGCCCAAAGGCAGCGTTCACCTGCTCTCTCCCTGACACAGGTGCTGCGGTACTGCCATACCTGCCCGCGTGTCATCGAGGCCCTGCTGAACAGCTATGACCACGTGCGTGTCTCTGAGGACTGGGTGGAGGCAGTTCCAGCAGAGGTTGTACAGGTGAGGGAATGCATCCTGCCATTGAGTTACTGTGACAGGGGGCCAGAGGAGCCTTGGGGCTGTGGGAAGTTTGGGACAGGGCTGCGGCTGGGTGGAGATTTGCAGGGCACAGGGGTAGTGCTGTTGGGGGATAGGGAGGAAGCATCACAGAATCATAGAATCAATTAGGTTGGAAAAGATCTTCAAGATCATCAAGTCCAACCGTTACCCCAGGACTACCACTAAACCATGTCTCTGAGGGCCTCACCTGCATGGTTTTTGAACACTTCCAGGAACAGTGATTCTATCACTTCCCTGGGCAGCCTGTTCCAATGTCTGACCACCCTTTTGGTGAAGAACTGTTTCCTAATATCCAATCTAAACCTCCCCTAGGAGTAGCCTGAGGCCATGACCTCTTGTCCTGTCACTAGTTACCGTAGAGAAGAGACCAGCAACCTCCTTGCTCCATCCTCCTCTCAGGCAGTTGTAGAGAGCAATAAGGTCCCCACTGAACCTTCTGTTCTCCAGACTAAACAACCCCAGTTCCCTCAGCAGCTCCTGATAAGCCTTATTCTCCAGATACTTCACCAGCTTTGTTGCCCTTCTCTGGACATGCTCCAGCACCTCAGTATCTCTCTTGTGAGGAGGGGCCCAGAACTGAACACAGTATTTGAGGTGTGGCCTCACCAGTGCTGAGAACAGGGGGATTATTACTTCCTAAATCCTGCTGACAACACTACTTCACCATAGTGACTAAGGTAGAGGGATATCTGGTTCAGCTTCTGCTGCCAGGGTGGTATCTTTACCTTTATCTGTGTGTCGTCCTCTCTTCTCTTTCTGCAGAAATACCCACGTTTCTACCACTCACTCTTTTCCCTGGAGCGAAGACCTCGCTCCTTGCAGCATCTGGCTCGCTGCACACTCAGGACCTTCCTGGAGGGCCGGTTGCTTCCAGTTCTGTCCCAGCTGCACCTGCCAAGTGCCTTGCACCGTTTCCTGCTGCTCAGCTTCGAGGATGTTCTCTATTGAGGACTGTGGTTCCAGTCCTACTTTGCCTTTCTGTGCAGATGTTCCATCCCTGCGGTGCCAACTGTGCCTTCCCTGCTAACTCCTTCCACTCACGCACGCCTCCTGCCAGGCCATGCCAGCCCCCCAAGCCAAGCCTGTTGCTATGTCCCTCTCACAGGCAGACTTGTGTTCTGCCTCATGCGCCTGTTTTGGAGCACTCTGTTTACCCGTACTAATCAGGACAAACTCCAGACTCAGTAGGAAAAGCAAAATATGGGGATTAGGGTGTTTTGAGGGACAAGGAGCAGATACACTGCATTGATCACAGTTTTAGTCATAGCATATTGGCCTCCCTATCTCAAGTCTACAATCCCTAACCTCAATGATGCAGCTCTATTCCCTGGGCATCTATTAAGATCCTGTCTTTAGTCAAGTTGTTTACGGTTTGTACCCGAAGTTGTTTGGAATAAACCCTAGTCTTGCTCTATACCTACCAGAGTATGATTTCTGCCTTGCTTTGAAGGCTGTCCTGACAGAGCTTAACCATGTGATGTGCCACACGTAGTGGCATGTGCGCTCTCAGACCCACACATCCACCTGCTTCTCAGGAGACATAGAGAAATGTGTGGTGAGTGTGGGGCTGAGGCCTCCCATCCAGACGCTTCTCATGCAGGTTCAATGTCTGGGTTTGCCTGGCTTTGCAGCTCAGGGCAAGACAGCAGTGTTTGTGCTGGCCCTGGGGACTTTGATGTGGGGCGAGGAGGAAGCATGTCCTGACAGTGCTGGTCTCCTGGGCCCAGAGCAGTCAGCATCTACCAGAGTACAGTGCAAGTCCACACACTGCTGCCTGGGCTGCACCACACTCTAGACAAGGTAAAGGGTAGTGTTTGTTCCTACCATTTAAAGAAGCAGTTGTAAAGAAACCAAAGCACTAACCAGCCTTTAAAGATTTGCTGTAAGATAACTCTGCTCCTGTTCCTGACTCCAGATGTGCCTGACTAGTTGGCAGAAGGTACGTGAAGACAGCACTACACGTTGTTTCTCTGTTCACATGTCTGTGAGTGGAGGAGGAGCAAAAAACAGGAGGGTCTGTCCCTTTTGGTGGCAGCATGGTCTGGGACTGCTTTAGCCTCAATGGGTATCTGGTAGGAAGGCAGTCTATGGAGCAGTACATGTGGGGCTGGTTTACCATTCTTCCTTACTTCCAGCACTGTCCGTGTGCCTACAATAACTTACGTTTAGTAATGGGTACTCAGCCATTAAGATAATATCACCTTAAGGACAGGGAAGGATTTAATTTAATCGTTTGCTTTATTTTGTAATTGTTTCTTGCAGCTGGTAGACTTAGAGCTATGCCTCAGGTCCTGCTGATTACTTTTGCTAGCTCTGAAGCCTGTTCTGCAATTGGATGCTGAGGGCAGCTCAGGTTGGAAGAGGTGAATCTCCCGTGTTTAGTTTCTGCAAACACCGGGGCACACAATGATACTGCATATGTGGGCAGGCCAGCTCCTGGCACTGCCAGTTCCTCTTTGGACAAAGGTGTCTTAGCATAGATGGACATCTGTTTCAGTGAAGCTCCTGTGCTGGGACTGCAGGTGAGTTTCCATGGTTCCTTTCAGAGCTACCAGCTTTGCAGGCAGGGGATCCCAGCATCAGTGGGAAGGCTGAGGTCAGGCAGGTGGCTGAGAGGGCAAGCCATCCCTGGGCACACATCTTCATAGATCAGATTTCATCTGTATGCCCACTGAACTTACAAGGGTGTGATTTCATTGATGCAAGGATACCACTGAGGAACCATTTTCAAGGAATGTGAGGCTAGTAGGAAAAGGGGAGTACCTTTTACAGACTGATTGATTTGACTGGGGGACAAAGAACCAAAGAAAGAAAAAAGTCATCAGAAAAGTTTTTGGGCACTTAAGCCCTTTTTCAGAACTGAAACAATCAGAAAAGTTAAAGCTAAGTGCAGGCTGAGAACAGATGCTCTGAGTTTAACTTAGTTATGCTAATCGATTAGCAATTGATTTTGAAAGCATCCCTTGGCTGCTTGTCTGCGACTGCTTGGGATGTATGTTGAACTGACTGCTCTGTAGTTTCCCCCATATCTGTGTGAACACACACAGATACCGACAAGAACTGGATTTTTTTTTCCCTGAGTTATCTCAAGTTCCCCAGTGTGCCACGATTTGTTATAAAGAAAAAAAAATCAATGGTTCAGTGAACTCATTAGCCAAATAAATCCTCTTGGCTGTAAGTTATTCTCCTGCAGATTATAATAATTATTATTTAAACAGTTTTTCTTTAACATCTTTCTTAATTACTGATGGAATAGTATTTTGTTACCACAGTAAAATACGAGTATTTTATCCATTATCCATTGTTGTTTCAAATACAGAGAAGAAATACCTATTGAGTTCTTGGGTTTCACTCTGCAGAACATACATTTACTCACAGAAACCTGGGCAGGTGCCCAGCAAGTGCAGTTCTTTGGATTCTCTGCTGCTGGAGCAGCCATGGTTGGACACACCAGGGTTGATCTTTGGAGTCCTGCATGCAGTTGTAGGCACCTGTTCTTCAGTCCCAGTTTTACAGGGCAGGAAGGATTGGCAGCATTCTTCCATGAAGCACCGTGGGCATGTGAGCTAAACACATGCTCCACAGCCATGCTGACCTCCACGGCTGGTACTCAGCTGTGCCTTCCCAAGCTTTCTGAGGGGCCAGCTGCAGGGTTTGTTCATCGCTGCCAGTTCTTCTGAGTGGCACTTAGAGGTAAAACTAGATCCAGTGGCTGGAAATTGAAACTGCGAAAATACATATTAGAAATGAGACACATTTTTAATAGAAAGGGTAATTAATCTACTAGTTAATTGCATCTTAGAATAGCTTATCATGGTGGATGTAGATTTCTTATCTCTGGCTTTTTTAAAAATCACTGGAAGATCTGCCCTAGCCCAGACCAGAATTTATCCCGCATGGTGCTCAGCCCAAGTCCCAGGGAAATCAGTCTGCTTAATTACAGATCTATGATCCATAGTCCTGTCACTCTTCCACACTGGTCTAACACTGGCCTCTGTCACAGCTGGGACTGTGTTTGGCCTCAGGGTAATGAAACTGTTTCATGTTTCCCTTGACAGTGCTGCTCACTTCACTGATACTTCATGGATATCTGTGACTTCCCCTTAGTTCCCTTCATTTTGTAACTACTGGTTTGTACTGGCTCTATCAGCTTCCTGGCTCTGAATTTGCTGCCTGCACTGGTTTCTGAAATAGACATTATGAAATAAACAGCAATGCTAATTTATAATTTTATTTAAATATTTTCTCTTATTCAGTTCCTCCCACAAGCTTTAGCTTTGAGATTTCAGCCATTTAGAAGCACTGAGCAATTTCACCCTGTAGGACTGGGCAGTGTTTGTGCATTGCCAAATGCACAAATCCAGCCCTCAGGGCTGGATGTGACACACAAAGGCAAACTCCTTTCACCAGTCCACCAGCACATGAGGACAATCCACCTGATGAGGGTCTGACTCACAGCAGTCTTTGAGTAGCCCCCATGCAAAGCTCTGCTGGACTGACTCCAGGGGCTGGTTTGGCCCTAGAGCAGTTCTCCTGGTGCGGAGTGCTTCTGGTATCTCACCATTAGGAGCATGACTCCAAATGCTTCCTGCATGTCTATTTTCATCTAGACGCTCTGCAGCAGATGCAGATGCTCCTGGGGTACCATGCTCTGCAGGTGAAATGTGGGGGAGCACACCCCTGTTGTATAAAGATGCTCTCTGGGGCCTGTCAGCCCTGCTCTGTTCCTCCAGCTCATCACCAGATGTCAGCAATGCTGCTCACATCCACTCTGTCCCATCTACCTCATTGCTCCTGGCTGCAAGGCTGTCCTTTGGGCTTCTGGGCCACCTGGGCTTGTGCCAAATGCAAACACATGTTTGATAGTAGCCTGTGACTTCTTAAATTTGCTCCTATGCCTGGACAGCCTTAGTTTGATTCCTGAAAAATACTACAGCAAGTAACTGAACAGTTTGCAGCTGCCTGAATACATGCAGAGTTGGTAAGACCAATTCTATGTCCTTCATTATCAGGTCAAAGGGCCTGAGGAAATGAACAGAAAGAGCAGATGTTCTGTGTCTTAAGTATCTTAATTTCATGCTCTTCCACATTAGACTCTCAAAACAAACTTAAGAAAAGACAATATAGAGTGAACTGTTGTTAAGTGAGAGCAGAACTAGTCAGAAAACCTTACTTGAAGTCAGTTACCAGCAGTCATACTGCAGTGATACAAAGAGGGTGTTACCTGGAAGTCTGTCCTGCACTTTTCTAGAGTTCTTAAAGACTTCCATAGAGGTGTAGACAGGCTTATTTTATCTGCAGCTGTGCTGGTTGAGTTACAGACCCAGCTGCTGCTAAGGCAAGCAGGACAAATACCAAGTTTTCCCCTAGAACCAGCAAAGCCCAGCCAGAAAAGCCTTAGTAAAGCCTGACCTGCCAGAGATGGTGCAAGCTCAGATGTGCAGGAACAATCATGCCACGTACTGCCCATGACCAGCTGTACAGAAAAGGCACAGCTGTTGTGGCATGCACAGATCAGAGTCTGATATGTAAAGAAGTACCACTCTGGTCTGCTCTTCCAGAGGTGTGGTGTCCATAGCATAGAGGGCAGGCTGTGGTGGGAGCAGAGGACATCAAGAGTGGGAAGAAGACAAGGAAATGGCCAACCAAAAGCACCTCAGGGATTTGGAGCTGTATATTCTGAAGAAGAGAAAACTGAGTGGTGACAAAATAACTATATCTAAACATGGGAAAATTGCATGAGCATCTGTCCTGTGAGAAAAAGCTGAGAGAGCTAGGACTGCTCACCCTGGAGAGATGAAGAGACTCGGGGATCTCGGTGCAGATGAGTACCTGAAGGGAGGCCACAAAGAAGGGGAAGCCAGGCTGTTTTCAATGGTGCCCAGTGGCAGGACCAGAGGTAATGGGCACTAAATGAAACACAGAAACCTCTGTCTGAACAGCAGGACACATATTTTCACTGTGAGGGAGATTGAACACTGGCACATGCTGCCCAGAGAGTTTGCTGAATCTCGCTCCATGGAGATATTCAAAAGCCATCTGAACAAGGTGCTGAGTAACTGGCTGTAGATGGCCCTGCTTCAGCGAGGGGCAGGGATGGACAAAATGACCTCCAGAAGTTTCTGTCCACCATTCTTGTATAGTCCAATAGTAAGGTCTGTGCCTGATATGAGCCTTGCTTCTGTCAAAACAGCATCACAGCCAGCACATTATCTAGATTTTCTGAACTTCGAGTAGATAATTTTGCAACATTACCTTTGCTTTTAATATGTTTAGTAGCTATACTGCAGGAATGCCTAGAGGCCGTGACTAGATTTAGTCCTGTTGTGCCAGATTCTGCATACAGATCGTAAGTGGAGCAGGTAAAGGCATAAAGTTAAGGCTGCATAGCAGTTTCCATTAGAAAGACCTGCTTT